CCTGCAATAACATGGATCCACTTAGAGCATCCTTAATAGTTGAATACTTTTGTTTGTTTTTAAGAAGTCAAGTAAGAGAGAGGGGAGAGAGAGAAAAAAGGGAAGAGAAAAAAAAAATTGACAGAATTTAAAAATAAAAAAATAAAAAATAAAAAAGCAAAGGTTTTGTTTAGAGTGGTCATCAGTTGGGCAAATTATGCTGGTGGACACGATTTCAAAATTGTTTATAATTGTGAATATAGAGTTTAAAAATTATGAACATAAAGTTCTATAATTATAAACATAGAGCTCTATAATTATGAACATAGAGTTCTGTAATTGTGAATATAGAGTTCAATAATTGTGAATATGAACTTCAAAAATTATGAACATAGAGTTCAGTAATTATGAACATAGACTTCCTGAAGACAATTTGAAACCGTGTCCACCTTGCATAACAATTGCGCCAGTTGGCGGCCACTCTAAAGCGCCCCAATGGGCGCACAGTGCGCTCCAAGCATGCTGTCTTTTTTTTTTTTTTTTTAATCCAAAGAAAAACCAAGCATACTATTTGTTGAAAAATCATCTCCTCCAAATTTATTATTATTATTTTTTTTTTTGAAAGCTACTGGCTCTATTACATTGTAGTATCTGTTCATATACTTTCTCAACCTACTGAAACACAAAGAACCAATAACGCCTCCACTGAAGCTCGAACTCATAATCTTCCAATTGGAAGTCCAACCCGGATACCATTAGACCACATAGTCCTGGTCCTCCAAATTTATTATAGATGCCCTTAGTGACTAATTTTCCCTTACCATACTAAAGGAAAGTTTTAAAATACATACGCATCACTCGCATCACTATTTCATTGGCTAATGAACTTTTATTTTGTAAGTTATTAAAATTTGAATTATTTAATATATAATAATATAATAGAAATGATTTTATAAACATCTCATAATAGTTATAAAAAATAATTATAGAAACACATCTAATTTTTAATTTAACAATTATTATTATATATTAAAAACCTTTAAAAAAAGATAATACATGACTTTAATTTGAAGCACATAAACAAAGAATATAATTATGATAATTAATTTGCAATCTTTATTTTTATTTGTTATAATAATTAGTGTAGAATCCGGGCTATGCATGAGGGCAAATTATTGTGGACCCGGATCTAAAAATACACAATTTATATATTGAATTTTCACAATTTACATACTGAATGTTCACAATTTTTATATATTGAATGTTCAAAACTGACATACTGAATGTTCACAAATTTTATATACTGAATATTCACAATTTACCTACTAAATGTTCACAATTTACATACTGAATGTTCACAATTTGAATTGTGAATATTCAGTATGTAATTTGTGATTATTCAGTATATAAATTGTATATTTTGATCGGGTCCACCTTGCAAGGTGGACCCAGGTCCATGGCATAACTATTGATGCATGAGATAACATTTCATTTGAATTGTGATTAAAGCCGTCAAAATGGGTTTAGCCCATCCCTCCTCACCAAAAGGGCAATAGTTATGCTGTGGAACCATGTTCACCATGCGCATGGTGAATACATGATAGATCCTTAATTTATAAGCTGTAGATCCATAATTATTATGGATCTACAACTACAACATAGAAATTATGAATCTCCATAATTTCTATACTGTAGATTCATAATTTCAATACCGTACTATAGATTCATAATTTCTACAAAATAGAAATTATGGAGATCCATAATTTCTATGTTGTAGATCCATAATAATTATGGATTTACAGCTTAAAAATTATGGATCTATCCTATGTTCACCATGCGCATAGTGAACACGTTTACACAGCATAATTTGCCCCAAAAGGATGGGACGTGTTTTGAATTTTTTGACGGGCTTTTTCCCGCCCCGATAGTATGTGCACGGTGTACATTAACAATATTAGTGTAAATATATACACTATTATATATATATATATATATATATATATATATATATATATATATATATATATATATAATTTATTTATTTATATTGAAAAAGTATATTCGTAATTAGTACATTGTATAACTAATTTTTCATTGATTCATATATTAACGTATTATATATTTGATTATTTATTAAGACTTATTATTTTATTATTTATTATTAAGTTTAACAAATTAAAAATGCATTAATATATGTTTAAACTATCCAAATTATTTTAGTATAAATTTATTAATTTTTTTATCTTAGTTTTTATTTAAAATTAAACTTTTTGATTTTGGCGGCCACCAGCATGGCCTGCGAGCATAAGGTGGGGTAGGGTGGGCTGGCCTACCTTAGGCTCATATTTTGACAAGTTTTTTTAGCTCGTTCTGTCGACCTGTTTCGATAGCTATAATTGTGATGTATTTAATCAATCGTTATACCCTACACCACGGCGCGCGTAGCACTATGCGCCGCGCGCCTCCCAAAACGACGTCGTTTTGGGAGGCGCGGTAGGAAGTTGCTGCGATTATGTATATTTGTTCACACAATTATGTATATTTGTTCATACAAAATTCATACAGTTATGTACATTTTTTATACAATTATGTACATTCTTTTTATACAATTATGTACATCCGAATCAGAAAATTTGTGTGTATTATGTTAAGAGTTGATGTGTATTATGTTAAAAGTTTATGTTTATTATGTATTATGTTAGATTATGTGTATTACCTTTTAAAAAGAGTATGTATATTTTGTTATATAATTATGTACATTCATGTATACAATTATGTGTATTCTAGTATAACATTATGTACATTTTTGAACAAGGATTTTTTTTAAAGAAAAATTAACTGCCATACACTGGGGCGGGAAATTTCAAAAAAAAAAAAAAAAAAAAAATTAAAACGACGTCGTTTTGCATTTGGGTGCACAGTGCAACGCGCGCCGTGGTGTAGGATATAAATTGCCGTATTTAATAGTAGTGATGAGATTTCAATTTGTAATATGTATGTTACAGACAAAAAAATATAATATAAATTTTCTAAAATGCCAATTCGAAATATCAGTGCGATTAATACTTTAGATTATTGTTGTGGTATTACATAATGAGTATTTACATGTTTAAGGTCAATTCAACTTCAGTTTGTACTAATTATTTTAGACAAATTTTATGGTAAAAATTTATGTGATAAGGAAAAAAAAAAAAAAAACTAAACGTAGTCAACAAATTTTGTTACAGTAAAAATTTAAAACTTTTTTCCCACCCACCCTAGAAAAAGACTTTTGTTTTGAAATTTGAAATTGCTCTCCCTTTTTGAGGGATTAAAAATATTAGAGAAAATTGTAATTTATACCCCTCACTTATAGACCAATTATAAATGTCCTCCATAATTCTAAATGGTATAAATCATAAATGTTGCCCATACTTAAATTGTCTTAACGTGTGTATATATATGATCTTCAAATATTTGGTATGTTTATTAATTCGCATTTAATTTACTTACTTTCTTTTATTTGGATGAGTATTACAATTTTTTTTTTTGAGAAAAACATAAAACTTTCATTAAATCAAATCATCTTGTAAAACATGAATGATAAAAGGAAATGGAAAGGAAAAACGATCCGCACAATATAATCTAGCTTAGATAGGGCTTCCTTAGCCAACATATGCCCGTCCTATTTGTAAATTGTTTCACATACAAAAAGCTGACGTTAGAAACCTCTCTAGCTAGGTCCTTAACATCCTCATCGATAATAAGATGAAAAGAAGAAAATATATATAGAATGACTCTTAATCCCCTTAATGACTTGGAGCCCGTTGGAGGCATGCAGCCCGTTGGAGTTACTCTTTAATCATTAACTCTATGTAATCTGCATTGATCTCCTTTAGCCATTTCAATGCATCCCCAATCGTTATGCCATGGAACCGTGTTCACCATTCATGGTGAACACGGTTCCAACGGTGTTAGTACACCGTTATCTTCTTTTTTTTTTCTTAATTAATTGCGTGACTTTTCTTCTTCATTTTTACATTTCGCGGTTTCACTTTAATTTGAAGTGAGCAATAATTTCGGACATTCATAAATTATGAATCCATGCCTGCACATTCACTTTGGAACCATGCCTACACATTCACTTTGGAACCATGAGATTATGAATTTTCTGTTATAAGATTATGAATTTTCTGTTATGAGATTATGAATTTTCTGTTATGAGATATGAATTTACATTACATTCATAATCTCATAACAGAAAATTCATAATTTAATAAATATTTTACTTTTATGCGATTATAAATTTTCTGTTATGAGATTATGAATTTACATTACATTCATAATCTCATAACAGAAAATTCATAATTTGATCAGACACGCGCCGTTAACTCCACATCCGCGAATTTTTTTTTTCGCATAAAAACGACGTCGTTTGAACTTGTGTTCACCATTCTCGGTGAACACGTTTCCAGGGCATAATTTGCGATGCATCCCGGACCCCAATAGCTTCGACTTGCCCCGAGTTTATAAACCATGTCAAGGAATTTAATTTCCTTTGCTACAATATAATTAAAGTACCCCATTTGAGTCCTTTATACCACACCCTAGGCCCATCTTTCTCCCATCAATATACACATTAATTTGAGTCCATCCAATTGGGGGTTTAATTTGGTCCAATTTACAACATGAACTTCATTTTGAGATCCACCTAAAAACCCTTGGTTGACACTTGACAGCAGATCGACCAGCTATGAAGAAAAAAGCTTTCACCTTAGGAGCTAGCTATATGTAAATTGTGAACATTTAGAATATAAAATTATGAACATTTAGTATATAAAATTGTGAACATTTAGTATGTAAAATTGTGAACATTCAATATGTAAATTGTGAACATTTAGTATATAAAAATTGTGAACATTCAGTATATAAATTGTGAATATATAGTATATAAATTGTGTATTTTTGGACCCGGATCCACTTTGCATGGTGGACTCGGGTCCCCAGCATAATTTGCCCTTTATCAATATCTATAATTAAATATGAGTCAGTTACTGTTGAAACAGGAGGATGTGTACTGGAAACAAAGGGCCAAACAACATTGGTTGAGGGAGGGGGACATGAATACCAGGTTTTTCCACCTTTCTGCATCTAATAGAAAGAGGAAAAATCAATTGCTGAAACTCAGGAATGGTGAGGGTAGCTGGGTGGAGGGTCAGGGGCTAGAATCCTTGGTGGTGAGTTATTATGAGGGGATTTTCACATCTGGGGGTTGCCGGGGTGCCAATTTTTTTGAGAGCCTGCAGCCATGTGTGACAGGGGACATGAATGAGGAACTAGTACGACCTTTTAATGCGGAGGAGGTGCGCGAGGCGGTTTTTGCTATGTCCCCAGATAAGGCTCTTGGGCCGGACAGTATGAACCCGGGATTCTTTCAGAATTTTTGGGAGGTGGTTGGAAGGGACGTAACTGAGTTTGTTCTAGGATGTCTAGAGTCAGGTCAATTCCCTTCAGAGCTAAACACTACAAACATTGTTCTAATACCAAAAAAAAGAAAGTTCCCGAGCTAGTTACTAATCTCAGACCCATTGTCTTGTGTAATGTGACTTACAAGGTAATAACCAAGATGTTGGCTAACCGGATGAAGCGTTTACTCAAGGACATTGTCTCGGAGTCCCAGAGTGCGTTCTTACCGGGGAGGTTGATAATTGACAATATCTTAGTGGCGGCGGAGATAAGCCACTATTTACGCAGGAAAACGACAGGAAAAGTTGGTTGGGCTGCGTTGAAGTTTCACATGGCCAAGGCATACGACAGAATGGAGTGGGAGTTTCTTAGACGTATGCTGTTGGGTTTGGGGGGGAGAGGTGGGTGAAACTCATCATGTTATGTGTGACTAAGGTCAAATATAACATCACGGTTAATGGTAATGTGGTTGGGGAGGTGGTTCCTACGAGGGGGCTGAGGCAGGGTGATCCCCTATCACCTTATTTGTCCATCCTATGTGCTGAGAGCTTGTCCTTATTGCTACAGCGGGCCCAAGACATAGGAGGGATACATGGGTGCAGGGTGGCGAGGGGGGCTCCGCCGGTTTCTCAAGTATTTTTTCGCTGACGACAGTTTATTGTTCTTTAAGGCGAACAGGCAAGAGGCCGGGGTGGTTAAGAATTGTCTACGGGAGTATGAGGAGTTTTCCGGCCAATTGGTTCACTATGATAAGTCCAACATCAGTTTTAGTCGGAACACGAGGGTCGAGACCAAGGTGCAGGTAGCGAATCTGTTGGGGGTAACTCAGGCGGAGGATATTGGCCGGTACCTGGGGTTGCTTTCCTTGGTGGGTCGGAAATGAAATTCTTCTAAAAACTGTGGCGTAGGCCATGCCTTTGTATGTCATGAGTGTGTTCCTACTCCCGAAAACCTTCTGTATGGAGTTGGAAAGGAGGATGAACAGCTTCTGGTGGGAAAGCGGCCGAGGTCAAGGTATCCATTGGTTGGCATGGGACAGACTAAGCGTGCCGAAGAAGTTTGGGGGACTCGATTTTAGGCGTTTGCATACCTTTAACATGGCACTCCTGGCAAAGCAGTGGTGGAGTTTTCTATCTAATCCAACTTCCCTTGTTTCTCGCATATTTCAGGCTTGTTACTTCCCGCGTAGCTCCTTTATGGAGGCTTCAATTGGAAGTAATCCTAGTTACGTACTATTGGAGAAGCATATTGGAGGCAAAGGCGTTGTTGTTATCTGGAGCCAGACGGAGGGTGGGGAATGGCCGAAACACAATGGTTTGGGAACATAGTTGGCTAGCAGGTCCAGTGAATCGCAGGATTGAATCACCGCAGCCGCAGGAGCTACGTGAACTCTTGGTACACAATCTACTCATACCTAACTCTAGTGAATGGAACATGCCTTTATTACGGGATTTATTCAATGATCAAAAGGTTGATGCTATAGTGCGTACTCCGATTAATTTACATATCGAAGACCGGTGGTTTTGGCGTTCGAATGTGCCACCTAAGTGCCGTAGCCTTGTGTGGAGGGCGGCTAGGGAGGTACTCCCAACAGTTGTCAATTTACGCCAAAGAAGAGTGGATGTGGAGGCGGACTGTTGCATTTGTAGGCAAGGTGAGGAAACTTTACATCATTTATTTGTTGATTGTCTGTATGCAAAAAAGGTGTGGCATGAACTCCAGGTAGTGGTTCCAGCAGGGCCCACAAGTTGGGGTGATTTTGCGTTGAATCTACAAGGTGATGAAACGCCAGAATTATTGGCGGTGGGGCTATATACGTTGTGGACGGTGCGGAATGCGGCTCTCTTTGACGCCACCGTGCAATCGCCAATTGTCTCAGCCAAGATGGTGCAGTGTAGTAGGATGGAATGGAGGGAGGCGGCAGAATGAAGAGGGGAGTCCAGTAGTGGTACGTCGGCAATAGAGGGGAGAGAGGTGGACTATATTTGTTGTTTTGATGCGGCGTTTTGGGCTGATCTACATACTACGACATACGATTATTGGCTGCGGACCTCGGTCGGGGAATGGGTGGCGGCGATGAGCGGACGCTTAGACAGGGTTAACAATGCTCACATGGCGGCGGAGCTTTAGCATGCAAAGAGGCACTTTCTTGGGTGAAGAATAAGGATCTTACGAACGTGCAATTCTAATCCGACTGTCAAGTTCTTTACACGAACTTATTATCACGATGGCTTTCATTTGTTTCTTACTTTGGTTTTGTTTATGATTCTTGTTGTGCTTTGCATAATGATTTAGGCTCTTCTCGTATCAGTTTTATTCGTCAGTCTGCGAACCGAATTGCTCATATTCTTACAACAGATGCTGTTAACTCAACTGTTACTCGGGTTTGGGATGTTTACCCACCTGAGACCATTGCTCATTTAATTGATTAATGATATTTCGTTGGTTTTGGTTTTCAAACAAAAATACTTAAAATTTCAGTTCAACGATTGTATATTCCTAATCTCAAAATAATTAAATGAGAGCTATCAAATCATTGCCATATCAATAGTCCAGAATGATTCACATTCATGTTATCACGTACATAAGAAGTAGTTTCATATGAACCAGATTATATATATATATATATATATATATATATATATATATATATATATATATATATATATATATATGGTTGCATTCACATGCAAACACCCTTAAAATACAAACATGTTGACATATACCGTGCACACACCTAAATGCGGGTGTGCACACATCTGTGGACAACAGTGCACACACCTAAATGTGGGTGTGCACACATCCGTAGTATGTATGTGTGAATCCACAATATTTGGGACAGTGTGCACACGTCCATGAACGACAGTGCACACAAGTGGACACAGCACACAAAAAAAAAAACTAATCACAACCTTAGATATCCAAAATCCAACGATCCAGAAATGTCCACACGTTTGTATTTTAAGCCCTGTTTTTAAATGAATGTATATATATATATATATATATATATATATATATATATATATATATATATATATATATATAGAGAGAGAGAGAGAGAGAGAGAGAGAGAGAATGGATCAGGTGTGGGTGGTGCTTCCCGTGCAGTTGTGCGGGTGGACTCACATTAAGCATTACACTGGCGCACTTTAAGTACACAACACACGCACATTAAACACACAAACAAAATACATTCAGAACACAAACTCACGCACCTTAAGCACAAATGTCACGCATCTTAAGTACAACCCTCACGCACTTTAAGCACAAAATTCACTCACATTAAGCACAAAAACACACGCACCTTAAATTTTAACAACAACTCACATTAAGTACACACTTACGCATATTAAGTATAAAACTCACGCACCTTAAGCACAATACTCACGCACCTAAAGCACAAAACTCACACACATTAAGCACAAAACTCATGCACTTTAAAGTTTCAACAACTCACATTAAGTACACACTCACGCACATTAAGCATAACACACTCACACACATTAAGAACAAATCTCACGCACCTTAAGCACAAGACTCACGCACATTTATAAGTACAAAACTAGGGATGGCAATATGCCCCGTCCACGTTGGGGATCCCCGGCCCTGTAGGGGACGGGGACGGGGACGGGAAAAATTTTCGGGGATTGGAGACGGGGATGGGGAATTTTTGAAATTCCCCGGCGGGGACGGGGACGGGGATACCCCTCCCCGCCCCGCCCCGTCCCCGTCCCCGAATAATTATTATAACTAAAATGAATAAATAAATAATATATATATATATATATATATATATATATATATATATATATATATATATATATATATATATATATATATATATATATTACATAATGCTACGGTACACAGTACATTGCTAATACTATTTATTTTAGTTATAATAGTATATATATATTACTTAATGCTAGTATGCTACTGTAGTTATATATAGATTACTTAATGCTACTGTATACAGTAGCATTGCTACTGTGTACCGTAGCATTATGTAATATATATATATATATATATATATATATATATATATATATATATATATATATATATATATATATATATATATTATTTTTTTTTAATTAAGATTTAAGTTTTTATTTTTTAAAATTAAAAATTATAAAAATTTTAGATTTTGACTAAGAGTTGATCGGGGATTGGGAATCCCCGTCCCCGCCAAATACCCCGCGGGGCGGGGATGGGGACGGGGACGGGGACGGGGAGTGTACTCCCCGCCCCCGCCCCGCCCCGTTGCCATCCCTATACAAAACTCACGCACATTAATCACCCGCACAACCGTACGGGAAACATTCACCCACTGGAACTTAAACATAAATAAATAAATAAATAAATAAATAAATAAATATATATATATATATATATATATATATATATATATATAATTATATATATTTATGAATTTAAAAATATTTTACAGTACATTCGTAGATAACTAAAAGTGTATTTAGAAAGTCGTAATAGAATATGTTTATTTTTTGAAAAATGAACCAAATGAAAAAAATACAATTTCTTAACTTTCAACCAAACAAAAAGAAATTCTGACATTAAGTCAAACATTAGATAATTAAAAAAATTTCCAGAAAATGAATTATTTTCATAAAATCGTTTTTCATAAGACATTTTCAAGGTTTCCAAACGGAACCTTAATATGAATATATATAATATGTAATCTAACTTTAATATAATATATAACTTCTAAAAAAAATTAATATAACTTTAAAACATTTTGTTTCGAGAAAATATTAATATTTTATATCTCACTAAAACATTATTAAATGGTATTAAAATATTTTATACAACTTTTTTCTAATTTAAACAAAATTGTAAATGTGAGTATAGTAGGTGATATAATTATATAAATTTGGTTTCTCAAAAAAAAAAATTATATAAATTTGGGTATTTCTTTTGTGATTTTCCCCCCTAATTAATTTTATCTGTTTTATTTGATGAAGGATGAAAGATTTGATAATAAATTAACACATAAAGAAATAAACCTACGATTTCTAGAAACATAACTTATTATCAAATATGTCATGGTCATATATATGGTCTTACAATATGAGTGGTCGTAGGATAGCTTTTAATATGATAACTGATTAATGTATTCCTAAATAATAGAACATGGAAAACAATATATAACTTTATGTCAGTTTTCCTACTAAAGTTTATATCACTTTTAAAAAAAATATTTTACATTTGGATAAGGTGATCAAAGGAAAAGTTGTATATAGAACCTGCAATCATGGTAGAAAAAATTGTTAGGCGCTCCTCGGACGCTCGAGAAGCGCCTAGCGTCTAGGCGGGAATTAATCGGCGCCTAGGCGCCCGTATCTTTTTATTTTATTTTTTATTTTTTAAAAATTAATTTAAATTAAT